CTCTGAGCCTAAACCCTAAACCTTAAACCCCAAACCGCCTAAACCCCAAAAGCCTTACACGAGCTGGAGCCCAGAGCACCTCCATCCCATTGGAGCGCAGGCGTTCAAGAATGCCAACTTCCAGGCGTTGACACAGGACAGGGCGGTTTAGGGTTTAGGGTCTAGGGTTTAGGGTTTAGGGTCTAGGGCCTAGGGTTTAGGGTCTAGGGTTTAGGGTTTGGGGTTAAGGGCTCTAGTCTCGCCTCAACAATAAGAGTAGGGTTCGGGGGGTGTAGTATGGTATAGCTATAAAAAGGAACCTAGGGAATGATACGATTGATGATATAAATCCTGCGTTACCCATGACAAGGAATGTACCACAATTCCCATAGTTCTGGGTCCTTAAAGTAATGCAGGAGTTATATCATCAACAGTAGTAGTAGTAGTAGTAGTAGTAGTAGTAGTAGCAGTAGTAGTAGTAGTAGTAGTAGTAGTAGTAGTAGTAGTATCTATTCGTGCTTCTGAACTCTAGGGTGCGGTGATGTATGGCCTTGGCTGGCACGGGTAGTGGAATCTTGGGTTGGGGTCCGGTGGTACCCTGCAACGATTGCAAGAAGCCTAACATGTAAAGTTCAGAAAACCGTTAAACCCTAAACCCTAAACCCTAAACCCTAAACCCTAAACCCTAAACCCTAAACCCTAAACCCATTCGTAACCAACCTGGGGTCCCACACCCAAGTCCTTGTTTCAAGCATCTCGGCCCTTTAATACTGTTGATGATATAAATGCTGCATTCCCTTAAGGACCCTAAACCATGGGGATTATGGTATATTCCTTAATATGGGTAATGCAGGATTTATATCATCAACCGTATAGGGGCTTTAATAATTGGAATAGGGTTTTGGGGTGCTCCTTATAGTAATTATACCATGATGGGCCCCAACGCCCCGATTCTAATTATTAAGGCCTTTAGATTAGACACCTTACACCAAGACACCCCGGAACCCCTGGTTCTGGTCATCCCCTTCTCTCCAAGCCCCTCCATGGCATGGCGCAAAGGACCTCTTGAAGGTGAACCTCGAGGTGGATGTTGGCGGGGGTCCATGGAGGGTTCCCCCCTTTTACAACTAGAGTCGGTTTAGGGTTTAGGGTTTAGGGCTTAAGGGTTTAGGGTTTAGTGTTTAGGGTGGGTGGTGGGGGCAAGGGTTGAGTAGGGTCTAATTAGAAGACTGTTGGATCCCATCAGCCCTAGGCTGACTAAACCCTAAACCCTAAATCCTAGGCCCTGAGACTCTTCATACGGAATCACAAAAAGTTCGGAAGCCCTATTCTCCCGAGCACCCGAAGTTCTAAACTAGCGCTGCAGCCTAGCCCCTCAATCCCTAAACCCTAAACCCCAAACCCTCAAACCCTAAACCCCACACCCTCAAT